TCCCTGGAACAGTTGTGTCGAACTTGACGATGTACATTGTCTGCCAAGATGGCACGTTTTCAATAATTCTGATTTTTGCAGTTTTTCCAATCGCTAGAAACAAAATTAGGAATGATTTTTTGCACATGGTGAAACAGATATCGGTTTTCCCTGTAAGTTTCATTTTTTTGCAGTATCATCGTATCACGATTGTATTCAATATAAAATAAAAAAAAGCAAATAAAACAACCTCCAAAAGATGGCTACCTTCATCAAACAACTTGTGTTGTACTGTAAGTATCTGATGTCTCTGTAGTTACATAATAGCTATGATAGGAAATGTAATGACTGTATTTTCATGTAAAGAGAACAATTATTTGATAATGACAATTCTTATTGATGAATTTTTTAGGAAAAAAATGTTTTTTGATATATTCATGAAACGGAAGCTTGTCGTATGAGTATGTAATAGGAACAGCTAAATATTGTTGTTATGTAATGAATTTCTTGTGGGGATATATCAATATATGTGGGATTGGAAGAAATGTGTGTTTGTGGGAAGGGTCAGGGGAGAGGGGAGGGATATGCATATTTGGTGATGACAGCACCTACATACCATATAAAGTCACACACTCATTTTTAAAGTAGTACTTGTATATATGAGACTAGTAGTATATAATTGAGTGTTAATGTGCTTGATTTACTTCCAATAAATTTTTTTCCATAAGTTCTGAAATTCTTCTCAGTCATGGAAAGGAGAAATATTCCTTTATTCATGTAAGTAGATGGCTCCTCATACCATGTGGGGATTCCCCTCACTCCAATAAAGAAAACATTGGTTTCCACTGGGTGAGTACTATAGTCTTCCTTACCCTGGATTCTCTCCATCCTCCTACGCAAGCAGAATACTTGTGTATAGTATGATTATTCAGCCCTGAAGTATATGTTAACTTGAGATATTTCCTGTACTCATGTTTGATATGTAAGTCAATAAAGTGACTGTGATATGAAAATAAATTGTTTTTTTTCATTTTTGTTTTTTTTTTAGTAAAGGCCCACAGACATGAAAATTCTCTTAATGCTACAACTTTGTTAGGTAGAAAGAAAGGGGACGAAAAGCACTAGATTGAATTATTACTTCTGATTATTTTAGTCAATGCATCTTTAAAGGTTGATGATAATCATGGGGAAGTTTTAAGGTCATCATAATGACCATATTGGGAAATATTCTATATTCATGTACAACATGCATTCTTGGCCTCCATTGTCTAGCAAGCTTATCACTATACTGAACGTGAAACAAAGGGCAGTAACTCTTGGAAATCAGAATGGTAGTATTAAGGTGGATGTGTTTGGTGCTCAATAATTATATAAGATGCCGGAGGGTTCTGATGGTTCCGTTGTTGCTTGGGAACGTTACATCAAGCAGAAGAGCTTACATTTTAGGAACGCCTGGTCTTATTCTCCTTGTACTTACTCTCCGTTTCTCAGTGATTCACTCATAAATTTACCATGTAAGAAAGGCCAATAATAACATTTTTGCCCTGCAATTAATCTTCACGACACCAAATATTATCTTTTATAATTCAATTTACCAAGTTTAAAGCCTCTATTCCTTTGTTAGTTAAAATTTTACAGACACAGAAATAACAGTCAGTGCGCCAGCCTAAAAACTACTACCATGGAACAGCTTAATGTGTCGGTCTTTCTGATACCACAGCAACAGAAACAACTTTTTTTTTTCAATTTCAGATATATTCATTATTTTTATGCTAAATACAAAATTTCGATGTTCATTATTTTGAGATTCTCAAATCTCAAAAGTTTGGTCAAATCTTCATAAGAGCCATATTTCTAACAGACTTTATTTCGCGAAGGCATCCTAAAACGCGCGAAATTCAAGTGATATAGTATAACGTTTTGCTGGCGTCTCCATTCATAATTACTGCCATTATGTTCTTTTCAAACTCTTTACTAGGAGTTCGTCCGCCTCGCTACTAAAATGCACACAAGTTATTTCATTATAAGTACGTTTAATGGCGTCAAATTTTAAAGCTCCCGTCTCGGGCAAGATCCACTGAAAGTGTGTCTTTCATCTCACAAAATTATTTGTAGGCATGTCGTGTATTCAGAACATTAGATACCTAGATTTAATGGTTACTGGAAAAGACAATCAAAACAAAGGAATGTCCATTTGATTACATGGGTGTGTGGATGGGAAGTCTTGTCTGACCGAAGGCTGACTGGGCGAACACAGGCACTGTCTAATGTCTACCTATCTCACACACAGGCACTCGAGGCCAGGATATTATTTTTTAAACATAATAACAAAATATTTTTAATGACCGTGGACCTCGGATTTGTCAACCGGCACATAAACTTTAATTCTGCTGATATTTCGTTTAAATAACGTCAGTCATGAGTGCTAAAACAAAAATCAATGTTTAAAAAATAATATCCTGGCTTCGAGTGCCTGTGATCTCACATGCGTAAGTAAAGGCACGCTCGAAACATGCGGCGGACTTTTTCACTCTGCTACGTAACAACAAGGACGTATATAACAGTATTATATGTCCCTTGTAACAGTGAAATGTATATATATATATCGGTATGGCATGATAATAAACGTTGCAAAAGTTACAGAGTCAATAGTACCAGTAATTGTATACTTAACATGGCACCGATAGGAGAGTGACACCACAGTACAATGTCTGCGAGTTATTTCCGGGAGTCCGTCTGTTATGTTATGCAAATGGATTAAGCGCTTAATCATATCCCCTTTCCACGAATTTGCTAGGTATGGTCAAAAGTGACTTCATACAAAAACTATATCGTAACATTTCCGCGTGAACACCATCTACACCAAAAGCCTATCGTAGTTTCAAGTGTTGAATTAGTAGCATTTCCGAAGATGGTCGGAAATTACTCCGAGATGTTGTGGCGATGTATAGTATAACAATTATGTTGACATCTTGTGATAACATTTACTGAACATGTGTAGAGTCAAAACAAAAATCTGAAACAGTACACATTTCTATGTGTTTGAATGGATAAGAAAATATAAATGACCTGTTGTCGGAATAAATGTGACTGCTCTGTCCATTAGAGAATGGCTAGACTAGTGTAAGTTATTATATTAAAAAAAACTCACAAACATACGTATCTCGTGAAGATATAACAAAAATACATTACTGAGTTATAATGTGACAAGGTTACCGCCAATCCAGATTTTGATATTTCTTTCGAGACCTCAGCATCACTGACGAATTATATTTGGCTGTATTCTAATCTTATGTTAAAATTGTATTCAAAATTGCTATTCACTTGTGAGTCATAATTCTTAATTTTTGCTTTTCCTCAAATGAAATGTCCAAATAAAAATTTCCTTAAATGATACACACAGGAAGTACTTGACCAACTAAGGAGTGAAAATGTCCATTGAATAAAACTTGTTACACATGTTATATCCGGCATCGTTAAGTATTTCACACAGAATATACATCTTCTCCTTTCAATTATCCAATAGGATAATAATATTGACCATTAACTGTATTTTCACAGCGACAGAAGGTACCGCAGGATTTATTGCCACACCATTTAATATTTAACAGAAACATGTATAGTTCATAAGCACGCGCAACTTGCTTACATTTGAAAACAACTTCAATTATTAAATACTGGTTTGAATTGAATAGCAAACGAAATTATCAAAATTAATTTCAATTGATTAATATTATTAAAATTCTTCCAACAAAACTTAATAAGCTTACAGGAAAAAATCCTTACACCTACGAAAAACAAAAAAATGCGTGTGTACCGCGCTACCCGAGTCGCCTGAACGACGGACCCGGGTACCAGGACACATGTATGAGCACGACCCGCACGTGCTAATACCCAACACGCTACCTATTGGAAAAACATACCACATTCTCCAATCAAACGGATAAAATTATATTTACTGTTGTTTCTCACTTTTTTTTTAATTCCAAATCTAAATCCCGCCACCCCCCCCCCCCCCCCCCCACCCCCCACCCCACCCCCATTCCGATCACTATCTGACACTGAAGATTGAGTTGACCAATTAACTAAACTTCATGATTTCGAATTCTCCTTGTCATCTCGGCATATTTTGTGTTGAAAGATCCATAATATTCTATTCATTTCGTATGTTATTTAGTTGAAATTTACACCAAAAATTCACAAATTACATTTGCACAAAACTTAATTCCTTGCGTCCGTTATAAAACTGGATGATGGCCAAACGTTTATCAATACAAATCAAACTAAAACATTCAAGAAGGTGGTCGGGTGGCGCAGCGGTAACGCACCCGCCTTTCACCTGGTCACCTTTCACTGGGTTTGATTCCCGGAACGCACGTGCCCGGTATGATCAAACGATAAGTTAATTAATAACCTAATCATAAATAAGTGTTTTCAATATTGGCCTCAGGCCAATAAGGCAGACGGCGACCTAGTAACTAGGTTCATGTTCAAAAACGTTATGTCAAAAAGTAACTTTTTCGAGAACGCTTTATTCCGTTGATAAATATAGCCAAATAAATCTGCTGATATAAATCTAAAAGAAATTTAGATTCCAATGTAAAATGTACATGTTTGGAAACATTATGATATAAGTAGAGTGTGCAACCTTTGCTCCTCCATGATGTCCGCAGGCCTGTGACACTCGACCAGTGTGTACTTTCTTATTTCTTTCACATTTCACATTTCTTCTGGAACATTAATAAATTACACTAAACAATGTTTAATATGTATTTAGATTTCGTTAATGAAAAAAATGCTATTCTATGTATAAAACTTTCTATGATAACCGATACTAGTTTTGATACGTCACAAAGTCACTGGTGAAATGCAAAAATAAGGTTTCCTTTGAATATATATAGCCATATATAATTACAAATCCGATATTACTGCAAGTCATGTTTTTCGGTGACTCAAAACTTTCGCGGTTGCATGAAGTAACAAGGGCTATTGATTCAATTGTCATTAACCAGAGATTCTCTCTATTGATTTTCTTTTCTATTTTTCGCAATGTCTTTCAATCCTCGATAAAAGAAAACTTGAAATCCCTTGAAAACAACACTCTTTACATCTATTCGGTAGCTGAATTCCCGAAATACTTGTTCATACACAAGTATCGATGGAATTGATATGCTGACTTTGGTGATCCTGGAGATACCATCCTTGTCGTCAACCACTAGAAACAAGTCTTTTATCGCCTTTCGGATCTGACTGTTCAGAACAGCGTACAAAAACGGGTTTACCAAACAATGTGCCCAAGCAACGTAAAGAAATGCGATGCGCATTCCGGGGTCAACCGCTGACGTTTTTATATCAATGATGGATAGCACAATAAAGGGTAAATACATTAGGCAAAATGTTGTTAGTAAAACCAGAACTAAAGACACAAGACGAACGTCACGTCTTCGTAGCTTGTCCGTGTGGTTTTTAGTGGTCACAGACTTGCTCCGGGTTATATTCACTTGTTGATTCGTTTTAAACACTTTTGGTAGAATACTCGTATATCCAAAGATCAGTAAAGGAACTGAAGTTATCACAGCGAATCCGGAGAGAAATATTCCGAAGCTGTCCTTAGCTTTGAATGGATTGCAAAAAAATCTGTTCCGGTCATACATAAAACTTCCCCAAACTTCGGTCGCCGGAAACAGCAGTATTATCGGGTACACTATCCAGGACAAGCATATCATGATCGCTATGTTTTTCTTGTCGTTGTAGATGTTTAAGTATGTGCTGTATCTGACTATAAGGAAATATCTGTTTATGGCTACGAGATCAAGTCCCAATAACTCGGAAGCTGTTATGGAATATGTGATATACCCCATAGCTTTACAAATGGTCAGGTTCACATCATCAGTGTAGTTAAAAGACATGGCGGCGATATATGGCAGTGAGATCGCACAAACAAGCGCGTTGTTTATCACCAAATTGAGAACAAACAAAATCACATTTTGTCGATATAGTTTCGCCTTCAAGATTGCGATCAGAATCATCATATTTGCAAGGAAACCCAAAGACCCTATCAATGTGGCGCCTACCTGGTGCAGTGTTCGTGTGGGTACGTCCTCGTGTGATGTTAGGTTGTCCTGGATGTCTAAAAGTGTCGTCTGCTCCATTTCGGCAACCTCATTCAAAATAAATCCCTCGTATTTGCGCTACATTGAAAGTTATGTACAAAACAACAGTAAATCACGTGATTCTGAGTAGTGACCGCTCAGTAAGGAAGACGGTATCATTTCCGTGTATCACCTGAATGATGTTCATACGTGTAACATGGTGAATTGTACATCATTTGTGTTTCCTTGTTGATATTCGTTCCCTTATGTTTTATCAATACAATGCTATATAGAAATTGTCTATGTCACATGACAGTCACGTGATACAAATGTACAATGTAGGTTAACACTACATGTATTTCAATGATATTAATTATTATTGTTATAATCAAATTATATTCTACGGATAGGTTCAGTATACGTAACAACGAGTACGTAATTTATATAAAAGAAATAAAACGAACTGTGTCGACCAATCAAATTTCAGCGATTAGTTCAACACTTCTCTTCCAACAGGTTACTATACTGTGGGTACTACAAACTCCCATACTTGCCAACTTTTTGAAATTCTCATGGGGGAGAAAAGTACGTGAACGACATTTTCAACTCGGTCGCTCAGTTTCGCGTTATCAGGAATAACCACATGATCATGAATTTGCATAATCCAGTACTGTTTTATCCTGCAATAAGCCCATGCCATATAATAAGCCCATCCATGTCTTTTTCAGAGATTTCAAAATTCACTGCCCTACATAAACTATCCCTGCATTCTGCAACAAGCTCACCCCCACATATTGTTCAATATCACTAAACACTGGCTTCCTGGGCTTATTGCAGGGTAAATACAGTAAACGTTCCAATCAAAGCATTTGAGATCACTCTAGTATAGACCTACAGAAATAACAACATTTGATGTTTTAGCTATTTGTTTCATTTAACAAATTTGATCAATTCTTCTACAACAGAATTGAGAAATTAATGTGATTTATTTGCATCAAATGTTGTTTCTTTCTGATGGAAAATTTAAAATAACCAGACAAGTGCAATTGGTTTTTAAGTTTTTAATAATCAAATCTTGCATTGATATTGGATGCTTTTTTATAGAAATAAATTATATCAAAATAGAGATCTCACTCTGACTCTGAACACAATTCCATAAAGAAAAAAACCCAATTACAACAACCACACAATATAATCTTGCATCCAAACCATTAGAAACATGTCACTAATTTAGATAATTTAATTTTATCGCATAGAAACTCGGTCTAATCTCTGAAGATAGAGGGGGAACATGACAGTTCCTTATTGTAGCTAACACATGCAGACTTCGCGGTCGCTAAAGTCGTTGTCGATGGCTTATAATTGTAGCAGTCCTCATCCCTGTTCAGCTTGCAGGTCAGTAAAGCTGACAAAGTTGACTGGTCTAAAAGTGATCTTTGGTCCGTTTGTACCTTCCGTAGCACTGAAAACACTCGTTCACAGTCAGCGTTGCTGTTCGGCAGGGTACACAATGATGTGGCCAGTTTGTACAAAATGGGGAATCGCATGGACCTGGTTACTGCAGTCTTACAGCTGGCAATCCCTCCCCAGAAACTGTCTACAGGTGTTTTCCCATCCTCCCACTTTGGCAAGTCAGCATCCGGGCATAACAGAAATTCTCTATATTCCTCCTCAAGTGTGCCAAGTTGACCATCCTGAATGACAGAAGGAAATCTCTTCCCTATCTCCACAACATTTGCTGGATTTACATGATCCTGTGAGGAAGGCACAAGAAACTGAAGTTTGTTGATGACTGGGTCATGAAATGGGAATTTCTTCACCATCTTGTCCACAGCTGCTATGTAAAATCTCCTCACACTGCTGAAGAACCTTGCTGTGACTCCTTGAGTGTCTTCATCATGCTCACTTAGGTAAGCCCGAGTGCAAAGTCCAACAGCTAGGTATGGATCTTTCAGATGAACAGTGGTGTCTCTGTAAGGTACGGCTGTCACATCCTCTGCTTCCCTTATCGTCTTCGCCAAGACAAACTTTCCAAGCAGCTTCCTCAAGAGTTGTTGCATCTCCTTCCCCAGGTATGGAAGACGAGTGTCATCTGCCTGGAACATGGTGTTGAATTTCACAAGGAAGGGGAGAAGAAATTGCAGGAAATGGAAGTAGAGCAACATCTCAGGGTTAGACAACAGGTCAGCACATCTCTTGACACGTCCAGGCTTCTCTACATCTTCGTGAGATAAGAAGTACGACTTCAGGGCTGGCCAATGATGGAGAGTTCGCTCAACTGCTCTGGCACGGTGATAATTTAGTGGTCACTGGTTGGCTACACCACATCATCCCTAACCTTATTAGCATACATACACATCAACATGCAGGACTACTCACTATGACCGACAGGAAGAACAAACTTGTACTATATAAACTATAATTTAATATAAATATCAAATTACCATTTTATATACAACAACAATCCGCAAGAACAGTTGATCTGTTTATTACGTTACTACAACGTATGATATATGGTTTGGCGTTCCAGGGGCTACTCACTCTATTTAACAAGATATAATTTACTAGCATAATTCTATATATACCAAAGAAATGGACTCCGAAGTTACTCAGAGTAGCCAGATTAGCAGCATTGAAGAGAGACAGAGAAGCAGCTAGACCCTGAACGATTTCAGAGAAGCTACTGGACTCTGCAACGCAGACAAAATAGAATATTCAACGAAATAGCTAGACCCTCAAAGATATGAGAGAAGCTGAATATGTAAGCTAAACCCTCAATTACATGAGAGAAGCTGAATATGTAAGCTAGACCCTCATCGACATGAAAGAAGCTGAATATGTAAGCTAGACGCTCAACAACATGAAAGAAGCTGAAACATATGATCGTATAAGAATATTCTATTATTATGAGATTGGGGGTAAAGTTCCCCTGAGAATTAAACGACAAAAAAAAAAGAACGTAAATGTTGTAAACATAGAGTGAGAGCCCCCAAATGATATGGTAATATAACAAAATGATATAATATAGAACCAGAGAGAACAGCATATATATGTACTTTTTAAAAGAAACACAAGGTAAAATATAGAAGACTTAACTTCTAACTTCATCACATGTCTGTCAAACAAATAATAGTTGCATTTCCATATCGGAGGGAAAGTTTTTACAAGCACCCTCATGATCAATAGGATATATCAGTTTGCGCACGGCGCAGAGTACCTGGATCTATGTAAATCTAGCGAATAAAACCATCTGATGTCCATCTACCAAGTGTCTGAATCATATGATCTTCCACCCCTGCTGGAGCAGCAGAAGTTCTGGCACCAATTCGAAAGGAATGACCGTTGTAGGACTGATTGTCTACACCTATCCTTGTTAGGATCTCTTTCAAGTAAAAGTATGGCGCATTAAAGGTCGAGATAAATGAGCATGATCTACAAATAGAGGAGCTGAAGGAGAAGCACCTGATGCTACTCTACGATTGACATACTTATTCGTAGTGGAGACTGGTGACAAAAACTCGTTCTTAAAACATTTATAGCTACACCTTTGCCGAAAGGACCTCGCTTGGAATGACGCAAAGTAAGCGTAAAACATGACAAATCTGGTAAAACACTGATGTCACCGATACATATAAAATTGCTGTCGCTAAAAGTTTTACAGTTGAACTCGCCGCATCTCAAAAAAACATAAAAAGCGGTTTTCAAAATACATAACATTAAATCGACAAAAGGGTTATAGAAACCACACTTCGCAATAGCTGCACACATGCTTTTCAATTAAGAACAAATAATAGGCAAACGTCTTACAGAAATATTCAATTGAGTTCTCTTAGTAGCTCTTAGGATATACGACAACCTAAGTGTATTGGCAGTAGGATCACCGAGCTTATTCTTGATATAATGGAATCTGACGCCAGATACGTAAAGTTTGATAGTGTCAAATTTTAACTGTAAAGCCTTTTGGCAATATGTTACAAATCTAATCAGCAAGTCCTCGTCGACCAGTTCATCATCACTGAAGCCATAGGTAGACATGGTACACATGTTAAGATCTGAACGACACTCTTCAGTGATTTTAACATAGAAATGAAGTTCGCGCACAGTTGTTGAAAGCGAAATAAGGCGCGATACAAAAGATCTCCCAGGTCTAATACATCTACTGGCAAAGTTCACATGACCTAATAAACTCAGAAGCTCTCTCTTAGTGCACGATTTCCTGTGAGCAAAGGACTCGAGAACTGAGATAATGCGATATGTTGTTTAAAGGTAAACTCTATTCCATACGACTGGAATCTAAAAACACACCAAGTACTCCAACATGGTGGCAGGTCCAACAGTTTTATGTGCACCGATTGGGATGTCAAGATCTCTAAACACATTCTGGAAATTGATCATAGTCTCAGACGCGTTAGCATGAACAGGTTCTATGACAAGAAAATCATCCAACAGATGCAGGATGTGTTTGCTGTTATATTTATTCTCTGCAATCCAGCACACGAGATAGATGGTCAAATATTTTAGGGCTAGAACGACTGCCGAAAACTAGTCTAGTGGAAAAAAAATAATAATGTCCATCCCATTTGATCCCATGATACGGCCACAATTCTGGCTTAATAGGCAGTAGCTTAAACGCATCTGTAATGTCCGTTTTCATTAACCATGCATTTTTCCTAACCCCTTGATAAGCGCAATAGCATCGGCTATAGTAGTGTACTCCAGTGAACACGTAATTTTATCAATGAGGCTATTCAAGCTAGGGTTGTTCAGGTCTTGATGAGGTGCTGACATATCCACTATGAGGTACTTTTTCTTGGAGCACTTATGCTTCGCGAGACCGACGAAAGGTCGCAAACCACAACAGATTATTCCCACTTCTAGACGAAAGGTCGCAAACCACAACAGATTGTTCCCACTTCCAGACGAAAGGTCGCAAACCACCAGACGGAAGGTCGCAAACCATAACAGATTGTTCCCACTTCCAGACGAAAGGTCGCAAACCACAACAGATTGTTCCCACTTCTTCTTGTATCCACAAAATTTGAGAAGTTGAGTACAAGAAC